ACATTCCACAAGGAGAGAACCGGATCGAAGCTTGGTGACATTTGTAACCTTTCCGCAGGCACCAGCGATACCTTTGGAGATTGCAAACGGATTTAGTTTTATTGGTTCTTTGTCACAAGCTTCGATAATCAAAAAACGTGGCCAATAGTCAGATCGGTTGGTGGTATTTTCGTCAGGTGAATTGTCAGATTCTATGTATCTACGTTTTGAACCAGGGTGTTGGGAAGCCATGTCGAAAGGAAAATGATTCGGCACCCCTTTTCCCCACCCACCATGGAATGTCTACAAGGACAGTCTTATGCTGCAGCGGATTTCCAAGCTGCAAAGACTGGGGATAAAGGGGTGGTATACTCCAGCAAATTTGACACGAAGAGCTATAGAATTCTACCAAATTAAAGGTCAGGCTGGTTCGGCCCATGACAATCAATTGGAGAAGTACAGAATTCGGAGGTCAGCATCACCAGATTGGCCCATGAGCCACCGCCTTCTGGGCATAGGGCTCTAAGCAAGTTTTATAGATTGTTAGATATGATATACATTTAGGTTAAATTATTTTTTTTAACATCAAAAGTGTGCATGAAATATTTTATGCACAGGGCATGACGTGACCAGCCGATTGATAGAATCGGGCCCATTCTACCGCCCGTCTAGGCAAAGTTAGGGTCGAAGTGGTGTGTTGGACTAAGGAGCACTATTTGCCGGCTCCGTCGCCCTCAACCACAAGAATCCCTTCCTCTGCCGACACAGGGTCGCAGCCCACGGCAAACAGGCTGCCCAATTAGGTCGCCTTTTACGACCAGCATTGGGGGACTGAGGACACATTCTTGTTTATCTTCCCCGGGTCCCCACGGGGACATTTGACAAGAAGTTATGTAACAGGGGTTTCCAAGGGACATTACATGATTTTACAAACACCGATAGGAAATTCTTCTAAATATTGACAGTTTGACGAACAGTCAGTAAACCTGCTGTGTTTTGAAATTTTAGGCTAGTCTCACTGTTGATTAGGTGTCTCATATAATTTGAAACAAGCGCCTAAGCTCCATTCTACCATGACAATATTCAACATGATACCTACTTGAAATAAGTATTAACTGATCCAGAGGAGAGGTAAATGTGCAGCTCTTGAATAAATACATTTGGATTCAAATGTCTGAGACCCGTGAAAAATTCCGGGGTAGAATAGGTCTTCAGCAACCCATGCTTGCTGTAAAAGGCGACTATGCTTGTCGTAAAATGCGACTAACGGGATCGGGTGGTCAGGCTCGCTGACTTGGTTGATGCATGTCATCGATCCTAATTGCGTGGATCGATGCTCATGATATTCATCACTGGATTGTCTGGTCCAGACTCGATTATTTACAGACCGCTGTCATATAGCTGGATTATTTATTGCTGAGTGCGGCGTTAAACAACAAAACAACCAACCAAATCAAATGTCTGATCAAATTATTTGTAAATGCTAGTACCAATGACATTAATGATGCCAAGTACTAAAGTACACCCTTCTTATAACTATACTAGAGAAAAGTAATGTGTAGCCTTAAGTTCCCGAGTAGGAGTTATGTATACTTATTTATTTGGGAATGTGTTGCTTTGTGGTTTCTCTTAACTTTTTTGCATGTGATGTTCAGAGTTTTAGGTGGTAATATAATTTGTTATTTATGAATAAATCAACATAATGACTTGATTGTCAAATTATGATTGTCTGACTTCAAGTAGGTTTGGTAACCATGATCATTTTGGGTTGCATTTACGGAATTCATAACAAGGGATGAAGGCAAAGGATTCCTGGTAGCAGTCTGCTACTTTTGTCACAGAAACCCAGGTCAAGTAAAACTTAGCAACCCAGGAAGATCCGGGGTAGGATAGGTCTTCAGCAATCCACACTTTCTGTAAAAGGTGACTATGCTTGTCGTAAGAGGCGACTAACGGGATCGGGTAATCGGGCTTACTGACTTAGTTGATGCATGTCATCGTATCCCCGACCGTGAAAATCCGGGGTAGAATGGATCTTCAGCAACCCATGCTTGCCGTAAAAGGTGACTATTCTGGTCGTAAAAGGCGGCATCGGGTGGTCAGGCTGGCTGACTTGGTTGATGAATATCATCGATCCCATTTCCGTGGGACCCGTGAAGATTCCGGGGTAGAATAGGTCTTCAGCAGCACATGCTTGCCGTGAAAGGCGACTAACGGGATCGGGTGGTCAGACTCGCCTACTTGGTTGATGCATGTCATCCATCCCAATTGCGTGGATCGATGCTCATGATATTAATCACTGGATTGTCTGGTCCAGACTCGATTTTTTTTACAGACCGCCGTCATATAGCTGCGTGCGGCGTTAATCATGTGCGTGGATCGTTGCTCATCATATCAATCACTGGATTGTCTAGTCGAGACTCGATTATTTACATACAGACCGCCGTCATATAGCTGGAATATTGCTGAGTGCGGCGTAAAACAACAAACCAAGGCCGTGCAGTTGGTCAAAAGACAGCTGCAGCCTCCGGTCAGTGGTTTGCATTAGTTTTGCCATATTAACAGAACAAAACAAATGCAGCAAAACAAACGCAATATTAACAGGACCCGTGAAGATTCCCAGGTAGAATAGGTCTTCAGCAACCCATGCTTGCCGTAAAAGGTGACTTCTTGTCGTAAAAGGCGACTAACGGGATCGATGCTCATGATACTAATCACTGGATTGTCTGGTCCAGACCCGATTTTTTTTACAGACCGCCGTCATATAGCTGCGTTAAACAATCATGTGCGTGGATCGATGCTCATCATATCAATCACTGGATTGTCTAGTCGAGACTCGATTATTTACATACAGACCGCCGTCATATAGCTGGAATATTGCTGAGTGCGGCGTAAAACAACAAACAAACCATATTAACAGCGATAGAAACTAACAGTTTTTGTCCACTAGTCCTTATAATGATAATATATTGCAAAACCCTTAAAAAGGGCTAATTTCTACTTATCCTTGGGATACCTTAACCCTTGGGCAATCTGTCTTTTTTTGTCACAGAAACCCAGGTCTAGTAAATCTTTAATACCTAGCTAAGTCTGTATATTAACGATATATACTCATCTGGAAAGTAACAATTTGGGGCGAGTCGAATCAGCCAATGTTTCCCTACCGCCTTGAAAATCAAATTTCTGGTCCCAAAAGAGAACAAAGCCTTCTATGACACAAGTAAAAAACATATACTTGTGACTAGTTCGTATTATGGTATGGTTGAAAATCTTGCACTTGAATGTGATTTCAGTTTGTAGGATATACCAATGTTTTGCGTGGAAGCTGAGCTAAGAATTAAACTTCCACATGCTAAGATCTTAATCAACATTCCGGTTACATGGACCAAAACGGATGAAGCGTCCATTCAGAATTTTAATGATGATTTCTTTTCTTTCAGAGGAAGAGAAAATGGAGACAACAAAGGGTACCTTCCCAGTAAGTTGCTTTTAATAAAGGTTTATTCCTATGTATGTATCATTCAACAGCTCCATGCTCCGGTTTTGTCTGAGCTTTACTGCTACTGCTGCAAAATCCTGCACTTTGTGAAGTTTGAAATGATATGATGAATATGCCTATTTTTTTTAAGTGCATGTTACAGAGCTCGAGGCCATCTATCTTAATCTCATTTGTGATCAAGCATGAGATTGGCTGAAATTAAACCGGAAGTGCTTCCAACTTTGTTTTTAATCAAAGGGTCTGTCCACAATGGTCAGAAAGATTAAACTTTGTTTGAATTATACAAATGTTTTCTTTAAAATTCAGGTGAGCTAGGGTGGCTCTATTTTGCATTCAATTCTTAAGTGAAAACTATATATACTAGTACTTGTCTTGTTCTGACCTATCAACTCACAAGTCGAAATGAAACCTATAGGACTGAACATGCATCTAGGTTAGCCTGATGCATCATAGTGTGGCAGATTACAACATATAATAATTTTTTTCTTATCCTGACTCATACTTTTGCTTATCACTAAGGATGGTATAAGTAAGGATAAGTATAAATGATTTTTTTACTTTATAAAATACATTTTTGGGATACCGGGTAGATTGTGAGATTGACGGCAACATAATATTTTTCCAGCAGGAAAATATGTTTCAACCAATGAAGAAAAATACAATGACTATTAACAAATGTTTTGAAATGTCTTTTATCTATTAATTGAACTATTTCACTGTCGAAGTCTATAAGTTTGCACATGTTAATATTTGTCATTAATGATTGAAATAAGATTACATCTATAATGCTGTCAACCACTGGTGTGCCTGGTCAGGTCTATGATTATTTACAAACTGACAAGGATAGTTAGAATATTTCAGAATGATACTTACCCATGCTGTCACTTTTATTTTACTCTTTCTGAGATTGCTTATACTGTTTTTTGTTTTTGCTTTTTTACTTCAATCAATTCATCAATGTTTTGTGATTTTTATACAGGTAAAATGGAAATAATGGAATTCCTAGATCGGTCTAGACCAAGTTGCCTGATACATCTGGACAAGCAGGCTGCATACAAGAAAATCCGAACAAAACTTTTCAATGATAGAAAAACAATGAGGCAAAAGAGTACCAAACGTTTGCAGCAGTTGCTTTAAGATTGAATAAGAACATACATTTTATAAGACTTATCCGGCATCAACTTGACTTACAAATATAATAAAGTATTAGGATTTTACTAATTCTGTGCAAGACTCCAGATAATGTCCATTGAGTATTTGCTCACGTTTTCATTAACATTGGTCTTTGCGTATTCAATATGTTTTTACTCCCTTAATTGGGTTCAGTCTATTGGGTATTTTAAGACAAAGTGGAGGAACTCTTCTCAACATGCTGTTTCAGATGATTCTAGTTTGTGTCGCATGAGATATGCAGGACCCGTGAAGATTCCGGGGTAGAGTAGGTCTTCAGCAACCCATACTTGCCGTAAAAGGTGACTAACGGGATCGGGTGGTCAGGCTCGCTGACTTGGTTGAAACATGTCATCGATCCCAATTGTGTAAATCGATGCGCATGATATTAATCACTGGATAGTCTGGTCAAGACTCGATTTATTTACAGACCGCCGTCATATAGCTGAGTGCGGCGTTAAACAACAAACCAAGCAAGCAAGCATATCAAGCCAACGGCTAAGATTTTCATGTTTAAGTTACAATAAGTTAGACCTATAGTGATGGTGTGCATTATTTATTGCTGTAGAACGTATGTGTACCTTATGTCAGTATTTGATCAGTACATAGAGATTATGTAATGGCCAGGGCCCGGTTGTTCTGAACCCGGTTATTTTAACGTCAGGTTAACTCCTTACCAACCGTTAAATATTTAACCACACGTTAGTTAACCAGCCGTTAAAATACTGTTGCAGGATCAATAGATAACCATTAGGTTATCTAACCACTCGGTTAAATTTTAACATCTTGGTTAAAGCACCGATTAGGTTAAATATTATCCCAGAATTCCAAGCGTTAGTACTTCCGTCACTGTGTCATATCGAATAATGGCCGAAACAGCGTCGACGACTGAGGAAACTCCAAGGAAAATAAGAAAGAAAAGAATCAGGAATTTTTCTGTGGATGGAGAAAATATCATCCAGTCAATGGTGGAGAGTAATTCACAAGTACTTCATGGAAAACTGAGCAGTGAAGTTACCAATAAGAAGAAGTCTGCTATTTGGATGGCTATCACCAAGGCAGTTAACATGAAGGGCGTAGCGCTTCGATCTGTTGATGAGGTGAAGGAGAAATGGAGCAACATGACAAGAAAGGCCAAGAAAACCTTCACGGACTACAGGCTGCAACAGAGGAAGACCGGAGGGGGACCCCCACCATCCGAACCGAGTCAGGCTACTTCTCGAATTATTGAGATAATGCAAGATTCAGCAAGTTTCAGCGGGATATCAAGGGGCTTAGAATCGGAAATTCTTCCAAGTAAGTGCTTTCATAGAAACATATTTTATAAAACCCTGTCAATCTGTGCTGAAATAAGTGTATATCTATGGAATTTTACTAAGCCGCCTACTCATTTTCATACTTTCGAAAGTCGTCTGTTTATGTTGACACGGAATATCCCTTTTCTATATTTAGACATGACCTTGAACTTTTTCGAAAGAAGTGTTTGCCTCCCATCTCTACAATATCTGGACAATGCAGCCAACTTTGTATGAACTTTTACTATTCACGTGAGATTCACGAGTATTATTATTATATCAACCCAGTCCACGATGCTGTAAACCGTAGAAACAAAAATAAGATTGTTGAACACAATTTCGTGAACCTCCATCAGGCGACGGAATGTGACGCAATTTCTCTTCTGTTGTGTCAACATCGAGTCCAAAGCCTGTTGCTTTAGCAAGAGCGGGATATCTGCTGTAACAGTGGATACGTAAAGTAATGCTATTAATGCTATTCCAAAAACTTATGACAAACCTGACTTGGTCACGTTTATATTTCACAAATTCATCTGTGAGCAAAGATTATTTATGAGCACGCTTCCGCTCCTCCATATGTAGAGGTCAAGGTCAGTAAGGTAAATTATTGTAAAGCGGTAGTAAAATGAATTTAATGAAAATATAATAAAATGAATAATTCAGTTACACACATTAAGACGAAACGAGTAGTCAGAGCCATAAAGACACAGTCAAGATAATTTCGGTCTCCTGAATTCGCAATGAAGTGAATATTCTGTTGATGTTAGTCAACACATTAATAGCCAATAACATTCATAGTATATTGTCTTTCTCTGAATCATAAATTATTAAAACAAGAGTAGATCCGTATATAAGTATTCTTAAGCCGTAATCCCTAATAGAAATACAGACAAAACCAGAAATATTTATATTGATAATTGTTTATTCCTCCAGGTTGTGCTGAACTTTCATCAGTGGCTGATCCTGGGTTGCCAACTGGTGCCTCAGATCCTACTCCAGCAGCTACTACCTCAACCCCAACATCACAAAGTCCTGAAGTCAGAAAATCTCAAGAAACAGAGCACAGTGAAGCAGCACCAAGACTTGATGACGGACGTCCAGCCAGGCAACTCAAGTACAGAAAAGAAAGTACAAAACTCAGTTCTTCAGAAAGAGTCTATCAATTACAGGAAAGAGTTCTATCAGGAGAGCTAGAAAAAACAGGAAATGGAAAAAAAGAAACTTAAGCTACAAATTCAACTTCTTGAGCAAATACTGCAACGTGATGATATTGACAATTCAGTCCATCTCAACTGTTACTTTCTATAATGTAATAAACCTGCAGTCTCATTATCACTATATTTAATTCTTGTGTCCTCTGTTTGTAGTTTATTGGCTGGAGAAGAGGGTATTGGTAATATGATCTCTAATGCCTCGTCAATCATGCCTTCCGTCATGTGTCCACTGTTGGCTGTTCATCTGGGTTGTCGTTGTCATCTTGTAATGGCTCATTCAGTAATATTGATATATTGTGGAGGACAGCAAAGGCAAGGACAATCTGACACCCACGGCGTGGACTCATCCTCATCTGTTGAATAAACAAGAAATGTTTGTGTCAAATACATAAATACAGAATGTCACATTAAAATCTACATTTTAGAAGCAACTTGTTTGCTTCTTTGAATCATTAATATAATTACTAGTAATTGGATATGTTAGTTAGGATTCTTGGAAAATTATTTGTTTCTGCTATGTGGTCGATGTTAAACGTGAAGCATTCGAACACACAACACCATGACTCCAAACCTTAAACTGATGAAAAAAATCAAGATTAGATGTAGAAAAGTAAAACATTGGTCAAATTAAGTACACAAATATACTATGCATATTTACCTCAGAATGAAGTACATGAAACCGTCTTTTCCATCGACCAAATGTTCTTTCTATTGTAACTCTTGTAGCACACAAGCTGTCCTTGTATCTCTGCTGAGCATTGCCTTGTGGAGTCATGTATTGGGTTTGGAGAAAAGGCCTGCAAGGATATCCACTGTCTCCCAATAGAAAGCCATCTGATATTGAAGTGTGCGACTTCTTTAAGTATTCACACAAAGTAGAGGTTCTAAATATGTGTCTATCATGAGTTGATCCCGGCCACATAGCACACACATTCGTAAATTTACCTACAAATTAGACAATAATTTTTAAAAAAAAGCAATGTTCGTGATGGATTAATGGATTTTCTATTATAGGCATATATATTATATATTTCAAACTTCTTACAGCTATATTTTCTTAAAATTACAGTCTCTTGACACAGCTTAGAGCTGAACAGAACTTTAAAAACATCCCTTGTTAGCTGACTAGAATATCCCATTTGTATTAAGAGTAATAAGAGCATTTACTCAAACCTTTCATTATTTATCTAATTCCGAATCTTTTTAATGCGGAATTTTATAGACCTTGGAAGGGAAGCTACTCTAATTGCAAAAAGGGACAGTACTCTAATCTCACAAGACGTACCTTCGTGGTCACACACTGCCTGTACGTTGATACTGTGGTATCCTTTCCGATTAACTTAAGCTGGTACCATCAATGCAACCTAGGACACTCGGAAAACCACCAAGGGCGAAAAATCCATCTTGAACCTGACGTATGTGTAGCATTCTTGTGTTGGCCATTTTATGAATTCGTTCTTCCTTTTAACCAAGGCCTCAGTCACATCGACTATGACACGTGAAACTGTACTTTTGTCCACCCCTATCGTATCTTCAATCACTTGAAGGAAACTACCACTTGCGTAAAGACGGAAAGCTATCATCAGTTGTTGATCGACGTTTAGAGCATGGCTACGTTGTGTAGGGCGCTCCAAACCTTCCCTCAATATATTGGCGATGTAGTTGATAGATTCCCGCCCAAATCTGTACCTATCACGAAGTTCACTGTCTGTGTAGTTCATTAATGCAAAATTAACAGCTCGGAATCGCTTCTGTTGCCTCGCATTAACCTCTGGAACCATGAAGGGGCGGTCGGGTAGCCTAGTGGTTAAAGCGTTCGCTCGTCACGCCGAAGACCCGTGTTCGATTCCCGACATGGGTACAATGTGTGAAGCCCATTTCTGGTGTCCCCCGCCGTGATATTGCTGGAATATTGCTAAAAGCGGCGTAAAACCATACTCACTCACTCACTCACTGGAACCATGAAAGCGGCGCTAGGCCTAACCATGAACGCCATTTTGTTTCAAATATAACCAAGGTGTTAAGTATTTAACGGAGGTCGGGAGGAGTGTTCACTTTAACGGGTGTTTAACCAGTCGTTAAAGATGACCATGCTTTGGGAAACAACATAGCCATTTGGTTAAATTTAACGGAGAGTTAACACTGACTTAACGGCTGGTTAGAGTTAACCGGGTTCTGAACAACCGGGCCCAGGTGTGTTTCTGTATCATAAATATCATTTTAGAGATAAGAATAGTATAATTCAAGCGATAACGAAACAGGAGCGTATTCTCTTTATCATGTAATGTCAATCTTAAAATAATGGATGTTTAAGATGTAATTTCACTCAATGAGAGTCGCTTTAGAAACCATGTATCTATATAATTTTTGAGTGACTTGTCCAATTTATCATGTTGTGCCAAATACAGGCATGTTTCCTTGACACATTCAGAAACCCCTATCTAAATATAATGTGTACATTACATGGTAGTCAACAGTTTATTGAGAAAGACGGCATCATATTGATGTATGTGGTATTAAAAGCAGTTCCTAAAGGTGACCTCATTTGCATATTTATCGGATCATGGTCTGTAGCTACCTGTGAAGATCCGGGGTAGAATAGGTCTTCAACAACCCATGCTTGCCGTAAAAGGCGACTATGCTTGTCTTAAAAGGCGACTAACGGGATCGGGTGGTCAGGCTCGCTGACTTGGTTGATGCATGTCATCGATCCCAATTGCGTGGATCGATGCTCATGATATCAATCACTGGATTGTCTGGTCCAGACTCGATTATTTACAGACCGCCGTCATATAGCTGGAATATTGCTGAGTGAAGCGTTAAACAACCAACCAACGTGATCACGTATACTTGCAACTTCGTTATACTACCATGTTTAAGTTTATGTTTAGGGCCAGTGCCGTCGGCTCGAGCAAACGGAATGGGTCCGATGTTTGAAAGAAATGGAACGAACTCGCAATTGGGATCGATGACATGTATCAACCAAGTCAGCGAGCCTGACCACCCGATCCCGTTAGTCGCCTTATACGACAAGCATAGTCGCCTTTTACGGCAAGCATGGGTTGCTGAAGACCTATTCTACCCCGGAATCTTCACGGGTCTCAGAAATAACTGCCTGATTTGAGTACACGTAAGGCAGTAAATATTTTTGTTAAGCACCCAAAATAAATGTTTTAACAAAACCAAAAGGGTATCTTTAAGTATGTGCGTATTAAGAACCTAATATTGACAAGATTGGTGATAATACAGATGTCAAATGAGGAAGAAGGAACAAACAAGAAAGAGGGAGCTGAGCAAAACAGGAGGAGGCCCTGATCCAAATACATTTTCCGATTTGGAAAATAAGGTATATATCCATATTTTTTATATACACAGTACAAGCATGGTGATGAATTTTTAAGTTTGATCAAAGATTAATATGATAACATAGTGCAAATATGCCAAGGCCAGTAAAATGCTGGTTGATATTAATGTTTTTAAAGCTTCCTACATCCATTCAAAAATTAAGAAAATAGCCTTTCATTTATTTCAAATAAAAATTAATGGCCGCTGATTACAATATTATATCAATTTATATTTTAAGGCTATATTCTTGATACTTACCTTCCAGATCGATGGTATTCCTGGTGGCCTCGAAGTGGTTTGTGTGGCGGTAAGTGCAAAAAATACTTTAACTGTTTCATTGGAAAATGCAAATCAATTTTTGAAACAACTGGATACTCACAACAAAATAACCCAATTAACGTCTAATGTAAATCATTAATTGTTGCTCAATTTCTTGTTGTGAATAACATGTTTAAAGTTTTACTTTTTTGTAGATGTCCCCGACACCTTTGATGTCCCTGACTGTCAAGACCCTATTGAGACAGAAAGCTCTCAATCAGGGGTAACTTTCTCCCACAGGTGATTGAAATCAGCATATTATACTTACATTATACATTTCATTTTATCAGTAATGTAACACTGAATTGTTTCATAATGGCTACATTTTTCTTATTTGTTGTGGACAATATACATTTTCTGAACAGTACTCATTTCTTGCTGATCAATGTTTATGCTTCTGTCCATAAAAGTATGGATGTTCCTTCATTTCCTAGGATTCATACAGAAGACAGCAGTTAAGAGAATAGCCGCAGGTACCGTAAACAGATATTAGGTTTGTTAAACATTTCCATTTTCACAATTGTATTTATTTCATGATTCTCTATGAACAATTTTAATGTAGTATTTTATAACAGTAGTGAGATATATCAGCAACGTTTAATTGCATTGTCTGTATTATAGCAACAATTACTTAAATGGATTCTTAATTTCTGTATTAAATAGTAAAATCTCCAAATTTCCAAACCGCTGTGGATCTTGAGAGAGAGAGATTGGTTGGTTGGTTGGTTTGTTGTTTAACGCCGCACTCAGCAATATTCCAGCTATATGGCGGCGGTCTGTAAATAATCGAGTCTGGACCAGACAATCCAGTGATTGACATCATGAGCATCGATCCGCGCAATTGGGATCGATGACATGTATCAACCAAGTAAGCGAGCCTGACCACCCGATCCCGTTAGTCGCCTTTTACAGCAAGCATGGGTTGCTGAAGACCTATTCTACCCCGGAATCTTCACGGGCCTTGAGAGAGAAACTACAGGTGCTGCGCGAGATGTTGGACATTGAGAGGAAGAGACTGGCTCAATCATTGAAGAGGAGCGACAGGCTGTTGAGGAAAAGAGATTGGCCATTGACGAGGAGATGTTAATTTTGATGAAAAACAAATCCCTAAGTCCCCTTTCACATTGTCCCCCATGATTAAATTCACTTAGATTTCAAATTAGATACATTTCTTATTTAACAATAAAATCAATATCTCTTTTAATGATGTCATTTAATGCAGATTAGAAGTTAAACGTGTAACTCTATACTGGTTTCAGTTGTTAATAATGCCAGATATCAGATACCCTAGAAAAAAATACAATATGTTAAATCCAAGTGCACGCCATGGTGAGATTAACTGGTCTTCGAAGTTGAAGTCTTTGTTATCGGTATATCGCTCTTTATTTGAAAACTTTTCACAAACACAATCGTTTATTTCATAATGTTTTGAGATGTAAATGTGCTTTGGAACAGGCATTTTTCAGTGTGACAAAATTCTGAAACAAAAATATATTTCTTGCTATGTACATTTATCATTCCAATAATCTTAGGATATTACCATACTATTTTTTTCAATTTGTTCTGTACATCACGTTTTTCCGGAGCACAGTGTGACCAATTGTATGTTGTGAATTTGGGCTGATGACCTACATTACTATAAGACCAGTGAAGATTCCGGGTTAGAATAGGTCTTCAGCAACCCATGCTTGCCGTAAAAGGCGACTATGCTTGTCGAAAAGGCGACTAACGGGATCGGGTGGTCAGGCTCGCTGACTTGGTTGATACATGTCATCGATCCCAATTGCGCGGATCGATGCTCATGATGTAAATCACTGGATTGTCTGGTCCAGACTCGATTATTTAGACCGCCGTCATATAGCTGGAATAGTGCGGCGTTAAACAAACAAACAAACATACATTTCTACAAAATATACAAAATGTGATGATGTCATTTCTTCGTGTTATTTCACTCAAGTGTGTTCGTGTGTGTGTGCGTGTAAATATATAAATGTAAATAGATAATACAGCACCTCATCCCTACATAAACAATAAATGTTGATATTATGGTGCAACATTTCCTGTCTTATCTGTTTTGTTAACAGAGTTTACTTAATCATCTATATGAATCAAATACATCATATTCAAGTATTGGAACAAGACTAGTATATGATGTACATTTGGAAATGTCAGATTATTACATTTGACATTTATGCAAATTTGTTCTGGATTAACTCCTTCCTCATCCTGTGGCCATCATTCAGAGGTCCCTGATAGGTGTAATTAATTTCTGGGACAGTTTCTTCTTCCAGAGCAGGTGGATTGGCCAGCCGAGATTCTATACAGAAAGTATGTAGCTTAAATGCTACCATAATAATTTGTGCACATTTCTTGGGGGTAAATTGAAGGGACCCGGATGATTTGTGTAGGCATCTGAAAATAATTTATATTTGGAAATTAATACAATGGTATCTCCATAATTTAAAAGTTGGAATTAAGACATTTCAAGGCAAAACAAAACAGCAAAATTTAATGTTTCATAAAAAGTAATTCAATGAATCTCTTCCTTTTCAGAAATTGAATAAATCTAGTTTGCCAAATCATTGTAGACATAATAGGAGGTTTTAAATATTTGTTTTTCCAGAATCTATATGATATATGAGAGCTGAATGATATAATTCCACTAAAAACTCTAATTCTTTATTCACTGACCTGAATCTTGATTTCAAAACACCAAAAGCCCTTTCAATGGTGTTTCTGGTCTTCATGTGGGCAGTGTTGTACCTGTGTTGTGGCCATGTAGTGGCAGCACCTACTGGTGTTAGGAGCCAGGGCCTGCATGCATATCTATATGAAGATGAAAAACGTTCACTACATTGATATTTTGGTTAATAATACATGTTTAAAACATATTACATTTATGAAGTTACTTGTGATTGAAGTTGCTTGTTTGAGATGTGTAAGCTTGAAATTAATGGTGAATGTTTTCTGTAAGGTAAGTGAGTCACTTATTAATTGTGTGATTTGTTTTTATTTTCAAAATGATGAAAAATAAAATTATTTACCAGAATCTCCCAAAAGCCATCCAGTTGGAGGAGAGGACTCAAATGTCTGTCCGAAAGGCTGTTGGCCAGTATCATAGAGTTAACAACACGTGGCGGTCTGAGGTTGATTAAGGAATAATTTGCATACTCATATATGCAAAAGGCAGACGTATGGTTCTCAGTAGGAAGTGGAAACTTGGAGACGATGGCTTGCGGTATATAAAGTTTTACTTTATACATGTAGATATATACATACAAAAGACACTATTTGCCAGGTCAGCACATAGTGGCTGTGGTTGTTGTCTAGGTGCCCCGGAGCACCCAGCCTAACCCTAGCTAGGCTAAGGGGTAGGACCTTTCTTTTCTCTTTTCATTCTCTCTGGACCAAAGCTTATATAGCCAAGGTCACCTGACATTTAGTTAGTAATAAAATATAAATGTAAACAGAAATTCATCAGTGACATACTGAACGAGATGTTCAGGATGACAGACAGTTGATGTACACAAAAATGGGGAGTAACAATTAGGATTAGCATATTATATGGGTGTCATAAATCAGTTGCTATGACAGAGTCCTGGCTTCCTCCAGGCCACCTTGCAACAACATTGGTGACCCTGAATGAAATGTTTGAGAATTAAAATCAGTGTAATGAAAAACATTATTATTAAGGTAAGAGGACTTAATTAGCCATACTGGTTTTGCCATTCCTGATCTATATTTGAACCACCATCCCCCTCCTTCCTTTATCAGTTGGACCGCCTCCATATCTCATAAAACTATAGAAGGAAATGAAATGGAACAAAGGCTGTACATAAATATATGTCACTCAAAGATGTAATTGTCTGTGATGGAAATAATTTTCATTTTATGATGCCCCTCTATTGTTGTATTTAACCTATACTTTCAAAATGTTCACATTTTCATATATTATATCACTAAATAAAAACAACTTCGTTAAATACACCCGATGTGATAATTTTGTTTTCTGTAACACAAATTATATATTGTTCATTTTACAGGCGCTTCAAATAATTTGTGTGTTCCTATAATTTATGGTGAGTGAGTGAGGTTTTACGCCGCTTTTCGCAATATTCCAGCAATATCCCGGCGGGGGACACCAGAAATCGGCTTCTCACATTGTACCCATGTCGGGAATCGAACCCAGGTCTTCGGCGTGAGGAGCTAACGCTTTAACCACTAGGCTACCCGACCGCCCCTATAATTTATGGTGAAATATAGTGAGTGAGTGAGTATGGTTTTACGCCGCTTTTAGCAATATTCCAGCAATATCACGGCGGGGGACACCAGAAATGGGCTTCACACATTGTACCCATGTCGGAAATCGAACCCAGGTCTTCGGCGTGACGAGCTAACGCTTTAACCACTAGGCTACCCGACCGAACCGAAGAAATATAGAAATAGCCTGATAGTTACATTGGTGCAAACAAGATACGATTATTTATTCTTTTCAAAAGGATTGAGTATGGTCATGTCATAGTGATAAGCAATGACATTCGTTAATATATTGATCAAAAACACGATAAACTGAAATATTATCTATCCTCAATCGTGCCTCTTGTGGCAACCCGTTGAAGGCCTCTGTCCTCTTATTGGTCGATGCTAATGTATACACTGATCAGCTGAAGGAAAATGTCAACTTTTATCTCCACGCATTATGTTAGTATCTATTAGCATGTGCGTGAAGTACTATTATGATGCTTTTTGTTTTATTTAAATGAAAATGTGTTTTTACTGAAGTTTCGCATCACACACGGCTTGTACATTGATGGCATGAAACCCCTTCCTGCACACGAATGCCGATTCGTCGTCCCCGCTAGGTCGTTTTATGGGTATAAGGGCTTCTCCGCGATCTTGTGGAAGCCACACATAACGGCAGGAAAGGACGCAGGTTCTGGTAATCCGACGTTCTCCAACACAGTGCTCAGGGCAGACACAGTTCTGTGAAATGCCCTTGACACACTGGACTGGTGCACACCGTGCAGATCACCCATCTCGAGCAAGAACCCACCCTTACTTATAAAACGCAGTGTAACAAGAAACTGTGTCTCTGGCGTTAGGGCGTACGAACGTTTTGTGGGGTGCTCTATTAATGGTCGGACTTTGTCCAATAACTGGAACAAAGACGAACGAGGCATTCTGTATTGCGCATACAGCTCGTCGTCACTTAGAATTTCGAGTTGCATGGTTCTATTTCTAAAAAACCCTTTCTCTCCTAATAAAACTGTCATATTCTTCGCAAAAATAGCACCGTAGACGCCATCTTGGACGATTGTCCGGACCAACTGTAAGTTTCGATTGTAGCTTACAATGATCTTAGCCTACAATCGTTTTGTGCAAGTGGATGGCAATTGTAGCGGAAGCCTAAGATCGCGATCTTAAGGATTTACAATAATTGTAAAGATCGCTTTGTGCAAGGGGACCCTTATCTCCCTTAGGCTGCTATTTAAATATATATACTATTTGGTCACCTTTAGGCTGGTATTTAAATATATATATATACCATCTGGTCTCCCTTAGGCTGGCATTTTAATTAAATATATATACCATCTGACTTCTTTCAGTGGCATTTAGAAGTTGGTGTGATGAAGAAAGACAATTTCTATGGATGAACAACAATTAGTGCGACGTTTCGGTGTAGATCCGAACACCTTTATCAAGCAGGTGATGGATAGTGCTGAACAACATAGGTATATATACTTATTAACATCAATGATTATACAGTAAATTGATTGATGGACACAGAAAGCTGATTAAGATCATTGGAAGCCAGTGAATGACTAATGGGACAGGGTAAACAACCACGGAAGCTGATGGGATGATTGGAAGCCAGTGAATTAGAAGTGTTGCATGTTTTGATATGAAAAACAGAAGGCACATGAGTCCTTTTTAGGAAAATGAAATCCCAAATTAAAATCTTATCTGAACATACGTGCGTACATGTGGTGTTTGACTGGGATGAGATTTTTCTTTTTGCAGTCTTCTCTATAGAGCATGTACATTTTGGAAATTGACAGGTCTTTTGAAAGATATTGTCTCTGTGTAGACAGTCTACAGTAATGGGACTCAACTTTCGGAAAGGACATTATATGCTTCCGAACACCAATTCGAGCTTCTACAGGAAGTTTTGTCTTTGGAGGTTTTCTTCCTCTTTGATCAACCTAATGGATAGTACAGCGTTTTGCAATAGTGTAATAAACTGTCTTCTCACCCATGTTTAAAGTTGACAAGAAAAAGGCTTTACAAACTTGCAACTTTATTTTGTCCTGAAGGCAGATAATACTCATAGGTCTTGCTACGACTTGATGAAGCTCCTTTTTTTTATCCTGCGGTTTTTGTCTGTCACTTTCACATGGTGTTTCAGAAAGTCACGCTGTCTTTCATATGATAACTTCCAATAGGAATGAAAACATAAATCTGGTCCTCATCGCCTAAGATTGTGCAGGACTATTTGCACTTACAAGGGCATGGTTTGCATTGCCTCATAAGAACACGATTGCCTCGTGTGTTAATATATTCCTCGCCATTATTTCTCTTTTGTTTTCGTTCATTGTCTTATGGCTCCTGGATAACATTGGCCCCTTTTGTTCATTTTCAGTTTCATGAATATCGTCAATTATTTCATTCAGAATTGATGTCTGTTCCAGTGATTTAGTCCGCTGACTTTTGGCTAGTACATCATTTTTCTGTGCATGCTTCTTGCGTTTCCTACATTTGATCCAAAATAAGGGTTCATTGTCATCGGAAGACTCTGAAGACGATTGTCTGTGGGAAGCATTTTTGTCTGGTGGTGTGTAATGGTCCGAAGATGACTCATTTTCGATCTCAGAGTCAGCATCTCTTATTATCTGAAGTGCTTTGTCCTTGGATCTGCGTCGGGAGCTATCTCCGTTGTTTTCTTATTTGCGAGAAATGGCGTCACCCACGCTGTACGTTGTTGGTCCAGTTATTAAATGCCCAGCTTATCCCTAAGGTAAAACGTATTCTTAATTAAATGTTTGAATGCATTATATATTTATGTTTCCATCCGTTCATCTTCTAAGATTGGTTTAGTGCTGATAACCATTTTCTAAACTGTGGGCCTACATTTTTCCCGTCATCTATGGTGATCGAAACAAATGGGCCCACATTTGTATTTCGCCTAGCTTCGTTAGGTTGTTTCGTTAGTTCTGATAATCAATTCCTAAACGTGGGCAGACGTTCTTCCGTCATATTGATTGCAACAGGAGGGACCACATTTATTAATCGCGAAATTCTACTTAAATATTGATAATCGTTTTCTCAAATGTGGGCCCACATTGTTCCCATCATATATGGTGATCGAAACAAGTGGGCCCACATTTGTGATCGCCTAGCTACTGGGTAGACGTTCTTCCGTCATAGTGATTGCAACAGGAGGGACCACATTACAAAATCGCTAAGCTTCATTAGCTTGGCTTACTTATAACTATGTTCTAAAATGTGGGCCCACATTGTTCTACAAAGCAAGAAACTGAAATCTACTTCAAATTAAATTTACAGAGGCAATACCACTCATTCTACATTTTCCAGTATAACACATCAATCTAATCATAAGTGTTGGTGGCGATATAAGCCTAAAAATATGTCTACACTTGAATTGATCTCGGACATGATACAAACCTCAAACGTTTCCGAGAACTTGTTCCATAAAAGGAATAACTCATGAATATTAATGACCCCACGACCTAGTTTGGCGATGTTCGTAGAAGTGAGTTCTGCTGTATTGCCATCGCATTTGTACATTTTAATCCAATAAGTCATAACACTTATTTTAGATAAACAAAATAGCAGTTCGTAATGCGGGTATGTTCACGTAGTATATATTCTCAAAAACAAGTGCGTTTAGTTTCGAATGTGGGCCCACCTCGAACTTTCGATTAGGCAAATGGTGTTAACTCCCTTCTCGAACCACCGATAGTGCGGTTTCGCCGCAATTATTAACATCTCTATTTTCCAACATAAGTGGTGAGGCTATCAGAAATATTCATTTGTGTTTTCTCTATGACTCCAACCAAGGTTGTCCTCACAGGCAATGCTGTCAGTCACTCCATCCTGCTTCTCGAAACAGGCAGTACTATCGGTGGCTTCACCCTGCTTCTCCTCAGAGGCAGTGCTATCAGTTACTTCACCCTGCTAATCCTCAGAGGCAATACCATCAGTGACATCACCCTGTTTCTCCTCAGAGGCAATTCTAAACTGTGGGCCTACATTTTTCCCGTCATCTATGGTGATCGAAACAAGTGGGCCCACATTTGTATTTTGCCTATCCTGCTTCTCCTCGGAGGCAATACCATCAGTGACTTCACCCTGCTTCTCCTCAGAGGCAATACCATCAGTGACTTCTCCCTGCTTCTCCACACAGGCAGTGCTATCAGTGACTTCACCCTGCTTCTCCACACAGGCAGTATTATCGGTGGCTTCACCCTGCTTCTCATCGGAGGCAGTGCTATCAGTGACTTCACCCTGCTTCTCCACACAGGCAGTGCTATCAATGACTTCACCCTGCTTCTCCCAAAGGCAGTGCTATCAGTGACGTCACCCTGCTTCTCTTCACAGGCAGTGCTATCACTGACGTCACCCTGCGTCTCCACACAACCAGTAGTCTCCACACAGCCAGTGCTATCAGTGACGTCACCCTGCTTCTCAACACAGGCCTAACCATCAGTGACTTCAACCTGCTTCTCCACACAGGCAGTGCTATCAATGACGTCACCCTGCTTCTCTTCACAGGCAGTGCTATCACTGACGTCACCCAGCGTCTCCACACAGACAGTGATATCAGTGACGTCACCCTGCTTCTCCACACAGGCTTAACCATCAGTGACTTCACCCTCCTTCTCCACACAGGCAGTGCTATCAGTGACGTCACCCTGCTTCTCTTCACAGGCAGTGCTATCACTGACGTCACCCTGCGTCTCGACACTGCCAGTGATATCAGTGACGTCACCCTGCTTCTCCTCAGAGGCAATACCATCAGTGACGTCACCCTGCTTCTCCACACAGGCTTAACCATCAGTGACTTCACCCTGCGTCTCCCCACCGGCAGTGCTATCAATGACTTCACCCTGCTTCTCCACACAGGCAGTGCTATCAATGACGTCACCCTGCTTCTCTTCACAGGCAGTGCTATCACTGACGTCACCCAGCGTCTCCACACAGCCAGTGATATCAGTGACGTCACCCTGCTTCTCCTCAGAGGCAATACCATCAGTGACTTTACCCTGCTTCTCCACACAGGCAATACCATCAGTGACTTCACCCTGCGTCTCCACACAGGCAGTGCTATCAGTGACGTCACCCGGCTTCTCCCCACCGGCAGTGCTATCAATGACTTCACCCTGCTTCTCCACACAGGCAGTGCTATCAGTGACGTCACCCTGCTTCTCTTCACATGCAGTGCTATTACTGACGTCACCCTGCGTCTCCACACAGCCAGTGCTATCAGTGACGTAACCCTGCTTCTCCTCAGAGGCAATGCCATCAGTGACTTCACCCTGCTTCTCCACACAGGCAATACCATCAGTGACTTCACCCTGCTTCTCCACACAGGCAGTGCTATCACTGACGTCACCCAGCGTCTCCACACAGACAGTGATATCAGTGACGTCACCCTGCTTCTCCTCAGAGGCAATACCATCAGTGACTTTACCCTGCTTCTCCACACAGGCAATACCATCAGTGACTTCACCCTGCGTCTCCACACAGGCAGTGCTATCAGTGACGTCACCCTGCGTCTCCACACAGGCAGTGCTATCAATGACGTCACCCTGCTTCTCCCCACCGGCAGTGCTATCAATGATTCACCCTGCTTCTCCACACATGCAGTGCTATCACTGACGTCACCCTGCGTCTCCACACAGCCAGTAGTCTCCACACAGCCAGTGCTATCAGTGACGTCACCCTGCTTCTCCACACAGGCTTAACCATCAGTGACTTCACCCTCCTTCTCCACACAGGCAGTGCTATCAGTGACGTCACCCTGCTTCTCTTCACAGGCAGTGCTATCACTGACGTCACCCAGCGTCTCAACACTGCCAGTGATATCAGTGACGTCACCCTGCTTCTCCTCAGAGGCAATACCATCAGTGACGTCACCCTGCTTCTCCACACAGGCTTAACCATCAGTGACTTCACCCTGCGTCTCCCCACCGGCAGTGCTATCAATGACTTCACCCTGCTTCTCCACACAGGCAGTGCTATCAATGACGTCACCCTGCTTCTCTTCACAGGCAGTGCTATCACTGACGTCACCCACCGTCTCCACACAGCCAGTAATATCAGTGACGTCACCCTGCTTCTCCTCAGAGGCAATACCATCAGTGACTTTACCCTGCTTCTCCACACAGGCAATACCATCAGTGACTTCACCCTGCGTCTCCACACAGGCAGTGCTATCAGTGACGTCACCCGGCTTCTCCCCACCGGCAGTGCTATCAATGACTTCACCCTGCTTCTCCACACAGGCAGTGCTATCAGTGACGTCACCCTGCTTCTCTTCACATGCAGTGCTATTACTGACGTCACCCTGCGTCTCCACACAGCCAGTGCTATCAGTGACGTAACCCTGCTTCTCCTCAGAGGCAATGCCATCAGTGACTTCACCCTGCTTCTCCACACAGGCAATACCATCAGTGACTTCACCCTGTTTCTCCACACAGGCAATACCATCAGTGACTTCACCCTGCTCCTCGTCAGAGGAAATACCATCAGTGACTTCACCCTACTTTTCCTCAGAGGCAATACCATCAGTGACTTCACCCTGCTTCTCCACACAGGCAATACCATCAGTGACTTCACCCTGCGTCTCCACACAGGCAGTGCTATCAATGACGTCACCCTGCTTCTCCCCACCGGCAGTGCTATCAATGACTTCACCCTGCTTCTCCACACAGGCAGTGCTATCAGTGACGTCACCCTGCTTCTCTTCACAGGCAGTGCTATCACTGACGTCACCCAGCGTCTCGACACTGCCAGTGATATC